TATTTGACTAATTTGCTCATAACGGTGCGTACATACAGTAAGGAGCACAAAACCCGCCAGGGTGAGTTCCGACGAACGGTGAATGTGAGAGGAGAGAAACGGGAACTGTTTGAATGAAGAGACCGTCGAGGAATCTACCGGACAGCGGACAGACATGCATGACATAGCAGATCCCTGTCCTGTCCGGGAGACGCCTTCACTACTAATTAAGCATTTATCCAGCGCGCGGTCGTTTCTGAGGAAACGTGCGTAAACCGGGGTCTTGACCGGGGACGGCAGACCGAGGCTGTAAGAGGAGCGGAAGACGGCGAGCGACGTTTCCCCGGAGCTGCAGGGCTATAATCCCGCTGAGTGGGGTTATGGACCGAGCGGTGAGAGAGGATGAGATTAGGTGTGGGAATGGGGAACACACCCGGGTATCGAGGGGCTGCGCACCGCGGGTCAGGGTGCACGGGAATGAATAGAACCGGGCAATTGGTGCCATGCAGAATAGATGCGTTTAAAGACGGAAATAACGACGAGGAGGAATGAATGATGATCAAACTGGAATAGAATGGTTGTAATATAATACGGATTCATAACTACAGCTGTATTATTATGGAAGTGTTGAAGATTAGGTCCATATGTTTGAGGGGATAGTCAATAAATAGCCATGATCGTAGTGATGATAGCTGAGGGAGAGCAGGAAGACGGTGTTGCTGGTAGTTGTGATGCTGGTGGTGATGGTACTGCTGACCCGCAACTTGAGGATGATGAGGAAGATGGTGACACTGGTAGTGGTGGCGGTGATGATGATGATGAAGAGGAGGGTGCTGGTGATAATGTGGTATGTTTTTATGATATAGTAGCTGAACTAATAGCAGCCTGATGATAGTGATGAGCACTTTTTCAACAATAATGAACTGAAAGATATATGGCTGTCTCAATAATTCACTAATCCCAAGATGTCTAAGGAAATGTAGCTGTAAATGAATTTACATACAGTATCTGCAACCATTTTCCAACACACACCAGCAACAATAAGTCTTTATATTAAGCAGCTTTGATGCCATCAAGGTGGTTCCTACTATCCAGTGAGTATGTACTGACTGCAAGAGCCAGTGTGGACCATGTCTGCAGGGTGTTGACATATGAGGTAAAATTTCAGACATTAGAAATATCTAACATTAAAGGAAAATATAAGGGCACCTCCTTGAGTTAAATTGAACAACCTGTTGAATCACGATGAGGCTTTATTAATTATTCTCAGTCAAATTTTCATATCAACTGAACATAAATTTTATAATTCTGTGTATATGTTTGCTCTTAACTAACTCAGACACAGCAACAGCATGTCCTGAGCTTCCCTGACCTCCATGTTGACGATGTTCCATCTGTCTGGGTATTCATTCAGGATTAGCTGCGACTGTAAATGACCAAGTGTTTGCAAGTAAAATTATTTTGAGAGCGGCCTAATTCTAGAAATGTTGATACTGAAATTGATTTGTTCAGGCTGTCGCATTTATAGTTAACCTGTATGTATGTGTGTATGTATACACAGTGTATGCTGCTCTGTACCTGCTAAGTCTCAGTGTATTTGCGCTGGTGCCAAAAATATCCAAAACTTTCTCTCTCTCTCTCAACCTGTGCCTTCCTTTCCTCAACTAATCCATTAATGACTTAAACAACACAGTCACTTCCTCACTAGAGAAGGTTTGTAACCCACATCTTGACCTCTAATCTTATCCATTTTAATCTGGTTATGCTCATCCCTGGCACCGGCCTCTGGTTACTTGTGTTGCTACCAGTCACTGAGCTCCAGGATCTTGCTATTGTCAGCATAGTGTTTGCTAGAAGGGACAGGGAAATCCCTGTGGTAAAAATCCTCTTCTCTCCTCTGTGTTTGTTTTGAGTATGTGTGTTACATGCTGTTACTAGGGTTATTATGGCCATGTTGACCTTGGAGGTAGATGCCTTGTGTTGTGAGCGGTGTGGTAGGAAGGAGGTAATATTGAGAGTAACAGGACAGTAGAAAATTAGAAATTAAAAAAAGACTTGTGTAGCTCGGAGCTGAGGCTTCTATAAAGGCTACCAGAGGAGAAATGACATTTCTTAAAAATGGCAGATGGTCCCTTGAGATGACGCATAACATTCAAATGCTAACCAGTTACTTGTTATAGCCCCTGAGCAGTGCTGATGTGAGTTAGCAAAGGTAAATTTCAGATATCAGTCTTTGCCAGTAGGGGGCCTCAAACTGTTCAGTATTAGAAATATTATAAAGAAATATCTGTGTGAATTAATATTGTAAAAAAAATTCATTGACAAAGAAATTGTATACCAAATGATAAAATGATTAAACCCCGGCCTCAAAATCTTATTTAAGTTTAGCTAGAAAGAATTTATCAGTGCTATTATTTATATCAAAATTACTTTGTTATTCATTTAAGAGTAAACACCTTAGGGCTTCATATGCCAAAGACATGCAGCAGGAGCACAGCCTTTTTTCCAGGCATTTCCCCCAGAGGGATCATTAAACATTCAGCTCTCATCCCAAGCTTTCTAACTGACAACATTTTAATTTAGTACAGTAGTTGTATCTTGTGTTGGGAAGGTGGCTTGATTTCAATTTTTATAAAAGTCCACCCCAGCTCCTTCATCAGTTTAGACTACCGTTTAATCAGGGTGATTTCACCGGGCAGTTTAATCTTACTGCCACCTATCTGCGAGTTCCCACTGGAGGCTTAAAGCATGGCCTCCCGCCTACAGGTTGATTAATTAAATCACTATAACAACTGTGAATGTGAGGACAGTGATATATCACAGTGTTTGTTCATCTCTGCTCTGGCTGTGACATAAAGTCATTGTCTATCCTGTTTTTGTTTTGTTTTGTTTTGTTTGACATTTATGGAAACTGCCCAGCACATTATCTGCTCCACTACAATACATCACATATTGGCAGCTCAGCACTTGCTGGACTGAGAGAGAAGCTATTGTGAGTGAAGGCCAAGGGGTGGTGCTTACACTATCAAACTAAACAGTAGTCTGTGAAACCCAGAGCTTTAATGCTAATGCAGGCCTTTGTTATATTGTTATATAGCATGGCTAAAGTCTGATATGGCAGGAGACTATTGAGAAAATGGCTGATATTAGAGAAAACTTCTACAAGCGACTACAAGAATTTGAGATCAAAGTCGTGATTCACTGTCAGTTATCAAAAGAAACAAAATACTTTGCTAAAAAAAAATCAATAATCACTTACACAGAGAGCTACAACAATATAGGTGGCAGACATATTCTGAATAAAACACCCTCTGAGTTTATAAAGCCAATTTAGATGAGTAGTGCCGACCTAATGGGCCCCTCGCATAATCCATTCCACAATCACTCCCAAAGCATCACTCCATGGATTCTTTTGATACATTCATTGCCAAATAGTGTGATTTCAAGCTTGCCAGTAGAGCTTTATTGAGCAACAGTGATTTCACTTGTGTACCTCATTTAGTTTTTAGAGGAAAAACGTTTAATGATGAACCGACTTGTTTAAGGCCTGTAGTTCTCAATGCGGCATACAGCAGTTTTCTCCTATTGACCAAACCAGGAAGCTCAATCAAGGAGAGGACAGTGAGATCTTACAGCAGTACTGTTCTCTCACCAACAGTTCACCACTTAGAGGTGGTGAATTTGAAGCTGTTTTCTCTATTAAATGTAGTCATAAAGACTGCTCTTTTATGTGTATACAAGGGTTCAAGGAGAAATACACCTTAAGAATGTAGAGTATATAACATTTAAAGATGCATCAATTTACACCAGTGCTCGGCATCAAAACAAACATCCATTCATCACAGTCTGTGAAGAACTAACAGGCTCTTCAATGACAGCTACATCAGTACCTCAAGATGCAATGCATATGAAAAGCCTGTGTGGGCTGAAGAGTACTTGGGATACTATGATATAGTTTGAGTGCACTTCAAAAAGCAAGTGAGTGCAGTCTCACAGCAAAACATATCATGGCCATGTTGGTCTGCTCACAATAACGCTTCAAAAATTGTGACATGACAATGTCTTTCTAGCTAGAAAAACAAAATAAAATGTCTGAAGTTCCTTATACATGGTTAAGGATAGGGAGAGACCCTGGGTGCCGTTAAAACACTCTCAAATGAAAAGTACATTGTTGCACAATGTTAGATACAGGACTCGATCTTCCATTGTCTACATGAAAGTCAGGCGTTTGCTGGACCAATCCATCCACTACAACTAGCATCTTGCTATTGCTTTTAACTTTATGTTGTTCAAAACCATATGCCTTCAGTGGACACTACATGTTAGCTTTCTGACCCACATGCCAGTCCAGTTGGTGGCAGTAGTGCACCACTTCATTGTTTGCCAAACTCCATAAAACACCAAGAAGAAGAACACAAAGAAGGACACTGGGCTGTAATACAAAATTGTTGCCATTTTACAGCCATTACTGTGACACCACTGCTTAGACTGTCAACCAATACAGCTTTACATGTAAGGTGCTTGTGTCCAGTCATGAATTGATGCTGGTGATTCCTATGCAGAAGCGGCTGCTAGGGCCCCTCAGTCAGGTTATCTCATTGATCTTGAAAGGTTAACTGCTGCTGCTGCACTGTGTAATGTTTGTGTCTTTGAGTTTTTGGGTCAACATGTGCTCATAACACATTAATTTACAAAAAACCCAGTCGCGTGAAATATCTCAGACAAAGGTAAACACTGAACTGCCAAATTACAAAGAAGACACAAACACACTTGATGGCGCTGTCATTGCTAGCATCTCGACAAATGATTTTTAAGGATGAGCCGAGCACTGATACGTAAACAGGCTCCCCCTGCTGCTGTCAAGAATAGAAAA